TTTTTCTACGTACTTATTTTTAACAGCACATTCACAATAAAATATTCTGTATGTAAAACTATATTTTTTCCCTACATTTTAACTACATATTTTTCTAAAACTCACTATTCAAAACTCTATTTTTTCTAAATATTGGTTATCAAACATGGGGCTAAATATGGTATTTACTACTTAGGCCTTGCAAACTTGCTGGGTTGAATCACTGGATCTAAGTAATAAATTATAAAAAAGGACAAATTCGATTTTAAAGTTGGGTATTCACAATTTTAGTTCATGAATCAAGAACCGACATGTACTTGATAAGTTCTCGATTCTCAATTTTGATTCCTAATTATTTTTTTGGAACCGGATTGAAACCTTCAATTTCAATTTGGGAGGTTCGATTTTGATTAAAATGTCTACACCTATTACACAGTTTAATCACAATCACTGATAAAAATACATTGTATGTCGTAATCAATTATTATAGTAAGCAATCACGTGAATGCATTATTAGCATTTTTTTTTAAAATTTCCTTTGCTCGGACAAGAAATAACTTATTATCTTGTTCGCTTATTAATAATTATCAATGCTTTAGTCCCTCGTAATTTAAAGAAGAAAATTGCACTATTGATCCCCTAATTGTGGCTTTTATTGCAACTTGGTTCCTAATTTATTTTTTTAACAATGTGATCCTCATTTTTTTCAGTTTTGTAGTGCATTGGGGTAATTTTACTGCAATTATCTCTTTCAATTTTAGAGTTTCTTCCATTTTAATTAATTTGTTTAGTATATTGGTGATTGCAGGCTTTTCATGTGGTTTAAATTTTATCTTGCCATGCAATCTCGTGAGATGACCAGAATCCTTAGTTTGCTAAGATAGAATTGGCAACGGGAGAGATTTCGTAAAAGAAGATCTAACCTAAAGTCCGACTTTGGTGGAACTGCCTATGCCGAAGAAATCAACTTTTGTCTTATTTTCTGAAAATCCAGTCATACTAAAGGTCTGTTTGGGAGGGATTCTCAAAATTTTACAGTAAATCAATTCTCATTTTCAACCACACATTTTTCAATAAAATAATATTTTCCATCACATCAATAATTTTTTCTTCTTTTTCAACCACACATTTCCCATCATATCACTATTCAAAATAATT